GCAGATAGCCACTCTTGAAGGCAAGTAAGGATGGAGTATCACCATCACAATTTGGAATACTGAGAGCGCACCTGGCACCAGGAGCCTCCAGTAAGGCCCATGTAAACATTTTCAGGCCATAATAGGCACTGAAGTGTACCCAAGTAGGAAAAAACGAAGTACCTGTCATGAATTTTACAGTTGTTAACAATTCATTTTCAAATCCTTTCACTAAGTTGACTAACTACAACAATAAGCATCTCTCCCATCACAAATCACATATTCACACAATATCTCTGAGCCAATTTTCATTCACATTCAAGTCTATTTAGCCTTCTAATGAAACAAAAATTAAATTAAATTAAAAGTTCCAACATCAAATGGCCAAACTTTTTAGAAACCTTAAAAAAAATTATACTTGAAAAGGACATTTCCTAGGCAGTAGCCATCCATCAACAAACCACTGTCTGAAATATTCACGAAACCTAAATCCGTACCTTTCTCGCTGTCATCATCTGCACTTCTGCTGGGAGGAGTACGCATACTGAAGTTCTTGGCCAAGCACAGGTCCAGATCATTGTTCAAGGGATTCAGGTTTAGGGCCTGATGGGAAAAGTTTACTATGAAGATGATTATGTGTAAAGAAACAATGATATTTTTCAAGTGTATATAACATCAATTTTTATTCATTTATTTATTCATTTATTTATTAAGTGGGGAAACTGTAAATGAAATCATCAAATAATGACTCCTGAAGACCTGACCATACCTTAAGTGTTCCTTTGAAATTGCACACTGCCCTAACCCAGGAGTTCTAGATTTTTAAAAAATATATATACATTCTTCACACACAATACAATGCTTTCAGTATACTTGCCTGACACATGAGGTCAATTGGGTTTTTGGAATTTGAAAGAATCTGTGACAATGTATCCATGTTTCGTTCACACTTCACTTGCCGTGATCCTTGACTCTTTCCATTCACTGACACTTCTATATACAGGAAGGCAGAGGTTTCCAAGTATGACTCTGTAGTAATATAAATAAAATATCCCAAAGCATTAAAAGTGGCTAACAACTGAAATTGATTTTAAATTATATATGTTACATACAGCCAAGTCATATATTATGTTTTATATTTTAGATACAGATATAAATATATATATATATATATATATATATATATATATATATATATATATATATATATATATATATATATATACAAAATTTCATCATTTTTTGAGTTATCAACCTGGAATTTGGAAACTGATGGTATAGGGGTTCTGCAAGCGCCATTTTCTGATGATGTCTGGTTCTTTGTTTGCACTGGTCACCGATATTACAACTTTGTCTTGCACTTCATCAGTCATGATTATATATACTTGTGGATGTGTCTGAATAAAAAATATATGTTAAATGCAGCAGGATACTGTAACATACTTCTCTATTATTTCTACACTGTTTTAAAATAAAGTATTTACAAAAAGAAATAGATACTATCGTTTTATCTTCTCAAGACAATTTGTTTATAAGAGCAAAATGCAAGAATGGACTAGTATGGAATGCATATTTTTATAATAATATTAATAAGTCTATTGAAATCCTAGGTCAACCAACTACCAATCCATCATTTCTTTATAAAGTTGTAAATTACAATGCATAAATATTCACAGTCAGATAAAAAAAATCTGCAAGTGGCATATACTTCCATGAAAATCAGTAATTGTGTCTAAACTTGAAAATTAACTTTATTTCATCAAATACATTTTGCTAATTGACCTACAATCCATAAAATGGCCAATGAAGCCACTTCATCTTCTACAACAGAAATACCAAAAAAGGGTAACAATAAATGTAATGTTGAGTACAACAAACATCAAGTCATCAGATTTGTCATGTAAATATCTTTACACAGTGCTCCTCTATCTTCCATACTTTTCTCATTCATATTTGATTCTGATAGACTTATTGAAAAAAAAGAAAAAAAAAAATAATGAAAAATATATTATTCAATTTCTAGTGATCCAAATTATTGGGGGAACACAGCTATATAACATCAAACAGATAAATGTTTTTACCGAGGTAATTTTCCGAGGTATGACTTTAAAACGGGCTAAGCTTTCATCTCGATAACCTGAGTAGACTTCACTGCTATTGAGAATGCCGGTAGCTTTAATGATAACTTCTTGTACAAATGACATGTCCTCACTTCGTACAGTGAGATGCTGCCATTCCTTGTAAGAGTAAAGCACTGAAATTGAAAATACACATGGTTAAACTTTCATTACCATCTGCTGTTATTTTCATCACTATGGCAAGTACTGTAATGAAATGCTTTTACATGCAGTATATACTTATTATGGTTAATTTTTTTTTCCAATTTTTTTTCCACATCTGTTTCTTTCTATCTGTCTGCCCATCTGTCCGTCTGTCTCTCTGCCTGCTTGCCTGCTTGCCTGCTTGCCTGCCTGCCTGCCTGCCTGCCTGCCTGCCTGCCTGCCTGCCTGCCTGCCTGCCTGCCTGCCTGCCTGCCTGCATCTGTGTCTGTCTGTCTGTCTGTCTGTCTCTCTAACTCTCTCTCTCTCTCTCTCTCTCTCTCTCTCTCTCTCTCTCTCTCTCTCTCTCTAACTCTCTCTCTAACTCTCTCTCTAACTCTCTCTCTAACTCTCTCTCTAACTCTCTCTCTAACTCTCTCTCTAACTCTCTCTCTAACTCTCTCTCTAACTCTCTCTCTAACTCTCTCTCTAACTCTCTCTCTAACTCTAGCTCTAACTCTAGCTCTAACTCTAGCTCTAACTCTAGCTCTAACTCTAGCTCTAACTCTAGCTCTAGCTCTAGCTCTAACTCTAGCTCTAACTCTAGCTCTAACTCTAGCTCTAACTCTAGCTCTAACTCTAGCTCTAACTCTAGCTCTAACTCTAGCTCTAACTCTAGCTCTAACTCTAGCTCTAACTCTAGCTCTAACTCTAGCTCTATCTCTAACTCTATCTCTATCTCTAGCTCTAACTCTCTCTCCCTGTCTATCTCACCATCTCCCTGTCTATCTCACCATCTCCCTGTCTATCTCACCATCTCCCTGTCTATCTCACCATCTCCCTGTCTATCTCACCATCTCCCTGTCTATCTCACCATCTCCCTGTCTATCTCACCATCTCCCTGTCTATCTCACCATCTCCCTGTCTATCTCACCATCTCCCTGTCTATCTCATCATCTCCCTGTCTATCTCACCATCTCCCTATCTATCTCACCATCTCCCTACCTATCTCACCATCTCCCTATCTATCTCACCATCTCCCTATCTATCTCACCATCTCCCTATCTATCTCACCATCTCCCTATCTATCTCACCATCTCCCTATCTATCTCACCATCTCCCTATCTATCTCACCATCTCCCTATCTATCTCACCATCTCCCTATCTATCTCACCATCTCCCTATCTATCTCACCATCTCCCTACCTATCTCACCATCTCCCTATCTATCTCACCATCCTCCCTGTCTATCTCACCATCTCCCTGTCCTATCTCACCATCTCCTACCTATCTCACCATCTCCTGTCTATCTCACCATCTCCCTATCTATCTCACCATCTCCCTACCTATCTCACCATCTCCCTATCTATCTCACCATCTCCCTATCTATCTCACCATCTCCCTATCTATCTCACCATCTCCCTACCTATCTCACCATCTCCCTACCTATCTCACCATCTCCCTATCTACCTCACTATTTCCCTATCTCACTATATCCCCATCTATCTCACCATCTCCCTATCTATCTCACATCTCCCTATCTACTCACCATCTCCCTACCTATCTCACCATCTCCCTGTCTATCCCACCATCTCCTGTCTATCTCACCATCTCCCTGTCTATCTCCCATCTCCCTATCTACCTCACTATTTCCCTATCTCACTATATCCCCATCTATCTCACCATCTCCTACCTATCTCACCATCTCCTATCTATCTCACCATCTCCCTATCTATCTCACCATCTCCCTATCTATCTCACCATCTCCCTATCTATCTCACCATCTCCCTATCTATCTCACCATCTCCCTATCTATCTCACCATCTCCCTATCTATCTCACCATCTCCCTACCTATCTCACCATCTCCCTATCTATCTCACCATCTCCCTATCTATCTCACCATCTCCCTATCTATCACACCATCTCCCTATCTATCTCACCATCTCCCTATCTATCTCACCATCTCCCTATCTATCTCACCATCTCCCTATCTACCTCACTATCTCCCTATCTACCTCACTATTTCCCTATCTCACTATATCCCCATCTATCTCACCATCTCCCTATCTATCTCACCATCTCCCTATCTATCTCACCATCTCCCTATCTATCTTACCATCTCCCTATCCCACTTGTTATATCACAATCTGATCACAATACCCGCCAGAAATTACCTTCCAAAAAGTAAGTTGCTACAAAAACTTTTATTTTCACTAAATACACCAAAACACACAGGTATCCTACCAGAAAGATGTGCAGGTGTAAAACTGCTGTTATCCACATTCAGCAGTAAACATAACACCTTCTTTGGCTTAAACACATGTCCAAGTTCACTTCTTGCATGGTTGGCAATGTGCTCCATGAAGTGTGGGGAGAGTATTACAATCTGTAGAAGAAAAAAAAAAGTCTACTTCAATAATCCATGGTAGTATTGGTGAGTGTAGTGGTGCGCGGGTGTAGTGTTAGCCATGGGTATATGGTAGTCTTTGGTGTGGTGATGGCCATGGGTGTGGTGGTGGCCATGGGTGTGGTTATTTATTAGTGATGGTGTTGTGGTGGTGGTATTATGGCAGGGTTTCGGTGATGGTATAGTGGTGGTGGTGGTGATGGTGTAGCGGTGTGCATGGTGTGTATATGCCTGTACATGTGCATGTGCATGTGCATGTCCATGTCCATGTCCCTGTGCATGAGCATATGCCTGTGTGTGCCTATGCATGTGTTGCGTACATGTGCAAGTTTAAGTGTGTGCATGTGCGTTTGCAAATGTAATTGCACATGCATACCGGAACATGTGTATGAGTATGAGTATGAGTATGAGTGTGTGTGTGTGTGTGTGTGTGTGTGTGTGTGTGTGTGTGTGTGTGTGTGTGTGTGTGTGTGTGTGTGTGTGTGTGTGTGTGTATGTGTATGTGTATGTGTATGTGTATGTGTATGTGTATGTGTATGTGTATGTGTATATGCATGTGCATGTGCATGTGCATGTACATGAGTATGAGTATGAGTATGAGTATGTGTATGTGTATGTGTATGTGCATGTGTATGTGTATTTGTGCTTGTAGATGCACTTGTCCATGTGCATGTCTGTTCACATGCATATCTGTGAATGTGAAAGTGCATATGTATGCACATGTGTTTGCACATGTGCATGTACAAGGGAGCGTGTGCAAGTGCGTCTGCATGCACATGTATTCTTACCTATGCTCTTGCGCCTGTGTTCGTGTTCTGAATACAAGAAGAAAGTGCAACGCACAAGTACCTTGACGAAAACAATTTTTTTTTTTTTAACTAATTGAAAACTAATGCCAACTTCACAAATTGCAAGAAATGAGTCATAATTCTGAAGAAAACATATCTATGAGTTAATCAAGAGGAAAATCACGTGTCACGCACGTAAAACTATCAGCGACTCTCCATTCCCTCGCTCACCTGAAGCTTTGCACTCTTGAGTGTCATTCTCTGAAGCAGCTCGACGTCCTCTTTGATTTCCTCCACGTTCACGTTTTCTATCCTAGAAATAAATAAATATATAAATTCATAAATTATATAATAAATCAATAAATACTGGATTATTTTGCTTTACTTTAAATCTGTGTTACATCAGTGGTGGTGGTGGTGATGATGGTGGTGGTGGTGATGGTGGTGATGGTGGTGGTGGTGATGAGTGATGATGATGGTGATGGTGGTGATGATGGTGGTGGTGGTGGTGATGATGGTGATGGTGGTGATGATGGTGATGGTTGTGATGGTGGTGGTTATAATGATGGTGATGGTGGTGGTTAAGATGGTCGTGGTGATGGTGGTGGTGGTAATGGTGGTGGTGATGGTGATGGAAGTGGAAGAGGAGGAAGAGGAGGAAGAGGAGGAGGAGGAGAAGGAGGAGGAGGAGGAGGAGGAGGAGGAGGAGGAGGAGGAGGAGGAGGAGGAGGAGGAGGAGGAGGAGAAGGAGGAGGAGGAGAAGGAAGAGGAGGAGAGGAGGAGGAGGAGGAGGAAGAGGAGGAGGAGGGGGAGGAGTGGGGAGGAGGAGGAGGGGGAGGAGGAGAGGGAGGAGGATGGGGAGGTGAAGGAGGGAGAGGTGGAGGAGAAGGAGGAGGAGGAGGAGGAGGAGGAGGAGGAGGAGGAGGAGGAGGAGGAGGAGGAGGAGGAGGGGGGAGGGGGAGGTGGAGGAGGGGAGGTGGAAGAGGTGGAGGTGGAGGAGGGGGAGGTGGTGGAGGAGGAGGAGGAGGAGGAGGTGGAGGAGGAGGAGGAGGAGGAGGAGGAGGAGGAGGAGCAGAAGGAGAAGGAGAAGGAGAAGGAAGAGGAGGAGGAGGAGGAGGAGGAGGAGGAGGAGGAGGAGGAGGAGGAGGAGGAGGAGGAGGAGGAGGAGGAGGAGGAGGAGGGGGAGGAGGAGGGGGAGGAGGAGAGGGAGGAGGAGGGGGAGGAGGAGGGGGAGGTGAAGGAGGGAGAGGTGGAGGAGAAGGAGGAGGAGGAGGAGGAGGAGGAGGAGGAGGAGGAGGAGGAGGAGGAGGAGGAGGAGGAGGAGAAGGAGGAGGAGGAGAAGGAGAAGGAGAAGGAGAAGGAAGAGAAGAGAAGAGAAGAAGAGAAGGAGAAGGAGGAGGAGGAGGAGGAGGAGGAGGAGGAGAGGAGGAGAAGGAGGAGAAGGAGGAGAAGGAGGAGGAAGGAGGAGGAGGAGGAGGAGGAGGAGGAGGAGGAGAAGGAAGAGGAGGAGAAGGAGAAGGAGAAGGAGAAGGAGAAGGAGAAGGAGGAGGAGGAGAAGGAGGAGGAGAAAGAGGTGGTGGTGATACGATAATGATACCAATAATGATGATGATGCTTACAAGATGCCGCCGAAGTCCCTGCACCCTTTGCGGAACTGCGTGAAGGTGCTGTGCAGGTAGTCCTTCCAGATCGTGCCGTCCGACGCGTACAGGATGGCGATGTCGATGCCTTTGTTTTCTCCTGCGAATGGTTGGCGATCATTAGGGAGGAAGCCGATACTGATTTTGAATGTCGCTTCACTCTGCCGCTGAAATGGCTCAGTCCTTTGATACACCTTTGCTAAACTGGTACGGCATCTTGGCACCCTGAAATGCTATGGTCGTTACACACCTTTATTGACATGATATAGCTCCTTGATACAATCTCATTGAAATGGCACGGCCCTCCGACACACCTTCGCTGAAATGCTGAAGACCCTTATTGAACCTGACACACCTTAACTAGAACAGTTTAACCTCTTGACACACCTTGGCTGAAATGGCAGAGCACACTGACACACGTTCACTGAAACGGCAGAGGCCCTCAATACATGTCTAGTGCGCGACACAACACTGATACACACCCCTTGAGCGAGCCAAATTCTCCGTCGACCTAAAAAGCGATGGGTCTGTTGGTCTTCTGTCCCAGGTTCTGGCTCGTGACGATGGCGCCGACATCGACTGAGACCTGAGGATAGCTACTCTTCTTTTCAATGGCAGCGGTGGCATCGAAGGAGGTTGCAGGTTCGGATAGTTCCCCGGTCGAGGAGGCAGGGTCGGTTTCTGCCATTTTGTGGACATCGTCAAGCGTCGTCAACACTTTGTGGCGCTAACGAAGTCTCACTACTCCGCGGGAGAGAAGTGCGAGAAGTCCAGGGACACGAGTATCGCTTTAGGAAGCGGCGCTGATAAGATAACAGTTTTAAATGCTGAAGACTAAAATGCGCTCCGGCGAGATTGGAGAGCCACAAGCACCAGCGTAGAGTGGGAATCCTGACAGGGGAGTAATCCCCCTGACAGGGGAGGACTCTAAAAGGGTGGCTACAGAAGAGCTACAAGTGCCAGGGGACCAAAATGGCTAGTTAGCCTACGCAATTGATAATGGAACTTCATAGGAAGGAAGTGTAATTAGGAAAGTGACCCAAGCGCTAACAAGATACACAATTTTAGAAATAGTTATTAAATACACCTTGCCAGTTACTACGTTGAAAACATATCCAACGACGCACTCTATTGTGTGGGCGTTTTCAACAAATATATATAGAAACAGTGAAAGATACTCGTCGAAAGGCTTGCAGCTTATAAACGTGCAGCGACCAATGCCTGACTATAAATAAGAAAAGAAAAATCACACCATATATATAATATACTACACAAAAATTATGGTTCACACGCATATATGTCTCCCAATTTAGATTGCCTCCTACTTCCTCATTTCAGTTCTGTCACGACGACCAGGATTCCTGACCGCATGCTCTACAAGGCATCGGTAAGGATAATGCGCACCAATAAGCTCCTTTTGGCAGGGAGAGGGAGAGGGAGAGGGAGAGGGAGAGGGAGGAGGAGAGGGAGAGGGAGAGGGAGAGGGAGAGGGAGAGGGAGAGGGAGAGGGAGAGGGAGAAGGAGAAGGAGAGGGAGAGGGAGGAGGAGAGGGAGAGGGAGAGGGAGAGGGAGGGAGGGAGGGAGGGAGGGAGGGAGGGAGAGAGGGAGAGAGGGAGAGAGGGAGAGAGGGGAGGGAGGGGGAGGGGGGAGGGAGAGGGGAGGGGAGGGAGAGGGGAGGGGAGGGAGAGGGGAGGGGAGGGAGAGGGGAGAGAGAGAGAGAGAGAGAGAGAGAGAGAGAGAGAGAGAGAGAGAGAGAGAGAGAGAGAGAGAGAGAGAGAGAGAAAGAGAGAGAAAGAGAGAGAAAGAGAAAGAAAGAAAAAGAAAAAGACAGAAAGAAAAAGAGAGTCAGAGAGTGTGGATGTGCGTGATAATTTTTTGAGAATGAGAGTGAAAATGAAAGTAAGAGGAAGAGTCCCTGAAATGAGAATGAGAGTGCGAACGAAAGGAAGTGACAGAGACAGAGAACCAGAGAAATGTAGAACAAAATACAGACAATCAAGAACACAAGGTATGAGTCATAACGAGAGAGAGAAAGAGAGTCGGGCTGAAGAATGAGAGAGAACGAGAGAAAGAGTGGATGCAGCAAGACTCCTAAATTAACCTTGCCCCCCCCCCTCCCTCCTGCCCAGCATGGGGTAGAACCTTAACAAAGGGGTATTCCCGAGGGGGCCGTTATCAACAAAGCAAGCTCGCCATTTCTGAAACAAGGCACTTCTGTTCCCTTCTGGTACTTTCGCGAACTAATAATCTCTGCTTTTCGTATGTTTTCGTATGGGGTGTATATATGTTCTATCGGTGTTCTGTCTTTGGAAAAAAAACACTCCATTCCTTAAAGACGTCACAGTACATGGCCATCCTTAAAGAGTCTGCCGATCCTATTCTGTCAATCGCGTAAATATAATGAATATCCCAACGGGTGAGCGGCAGCGTCTTACTGCCATAGTTGCAATTTAAAAAAAAGTCAAACTGCCGATTTTAAGCATTTTACACCTGTTTGCTTACGCGTTTCGCAAGACGAAGGTCGGACGTTTGAATCCCCAAGTCGAACTACGGTCAATTTCATCCAGTCAGGAAGGAGGGCATTGCACTGGAATTAAAACAAAAGATGGCCAAGATTATATCAAGGACACAATGCACGCACGCACACATATAAATGTGTGTACATCAGCCCCCCCCCCCCCCCACTTTAGATAGAGAGTTCACACACGTGCTTCGTTCGAGTTTCTCACGCTTCGAGCCCCGCCGGTAGTTCAAAGACAACGCCGCTCGCTCTACGTCTCGAACACAACGCGCCGTCTCGAGTTCGGTCGCCAGGGAGGCTCTCGGGTTCCAAGGGCCTCATTCTTGAATCATTTCCGTCGGCGCTGCCAGGCTCGTGCAGGCTGCGGCGTGTTTGTGCAGCGCCGCGTCTCAATTTACGCGGTTTTCGTGAGCAACGGCAAGACAAAGAGAGTCGTAGTTCTTTGAAAAGGGTGGAGGAAGGGTAGAGAAAGAGGAGGAAGGGTGGAGGAAGAGGAGGAAGGGTGGAGAAAGAGGAGGAAGGGTGGAGAAGGAGTAGGAAGGGTGGAGGAAGAGGAGGAAGGGTGGAGGAAGAAGAGGAAGGGTGGAGAAAGAAGAGGAAGGGTGGAGAAAGAAGAGGAAGGGTGGAGAAAGAAGAGGAAGGGTGAAGAAAGAAGAGGAAGGGTGGAGAAAGAGGAAGGGTGGAGAAAGAAGAGGAAGGGTGGAGAAAGAGGAGGAGGAGGAAGGGAGGAGGAGGAGGAGGAGGAGGAAGAAGGGTGGAGGACGAGAGGCAAGATAGTGGAGGAGGGGAAAGGTGGTGGTGAGGGGGGGGGGGGGGGAGGAGGAGGAGGAGGAAGAGGAGAAAGGGAGGAGGAGGAGGAGGAAGAAGGGTGGAGGAGGAGGAGGAAGAGAGGAGGAAGAGAGAAGGTTGGAGAAAGAAGAGGAAGGTGGAGAAAGAGGAGGAAGGGTGGAGAAAGAAGAGGAAGGGTGAAGAAAGAAGAGGAAGGGTGAAGAAAGAAGAGGAAGGGTGAAGAAAGAAGAGGAAGGGTGAAGAAAGAAGAGGAAGGGTGAAGAAAGAAGAGGAAGGGTGAAGAAAGAAGAGGAAGGGTGAAGAAAGAAGAGGAAGGGTGAAGAAAGAAGAGGAAGGGTGAAGAAAGAAGAGGAAGGGTGAAGAAAGAAGAGGAAGGGTGGAGAAAGAAGAGGAAGGGTGAAGAAAGAAGAGGAAGGGTGAAGAAAGAAGAGGAAGGGTGAAGAAAGAAGAGGAAGGGTGAAGAAAGAAGAGGAAGGGTGGAGAAAGAAGAGGAAGGGTGAAGAAAGAAGAGGAAGGGTGAAGAAAGAAGAGGAAGGTGGAGAAAGAGGAAGGGTGGAGAAAGAGGAAGGGTGGAGAAAGAGGAAGGGTGGAGAAAGAAGAGGAAGGGTGAAGAAAGAAGAGGAAGGGTGAAGAAAGAAGAGGAAGGGTGGAGAAAGAGGAGGAAGGGTGGAGAAAGAAGAGGAAGGTGGAGAAAGAGGAGGAGGAGGAGGATATATACATATATAATATATATAGATATCATAATATAATATACATATAACATATGTATATATATGTATATTATATAATATATATGTATATATTATGATACTGATATATATAATACAAATGCAGATATATCATTTATGTATATATCATATATATATATATATATATATATATATATATATATATATATATATATATATATATATATATATATATATATATGTATTATATATACATTATATTATATTATATATATATAATATACATATATATGTATATGTGTTTATATATTACATATTTACATATATTTAATGTGTGTATATATATATATATATATATATATATATATATATATATATATATTATATCTATAATGTACATGTGCATATATGTATATGTAATACATATTATATAATATACATATATATGTATATAATACATATATACATATACATAATATATACATATATATAATATACATATATATGTATATATGTATATAAAATATACATATACATACAATATATATGAATTGTATATGTATATATATGTATAAATGTATTATGTATACATTATACATATATATATATATATATATATATATATATATATTTATATTATTCACACATATCTGTACACACATATACAACATACATACATACATTCATACATACATACATTCATACATACATATATATTTCATAATACATACATGCATGTAAATATATAATACATATATACATACATATATATATAATATAAATAATATAATACATATATAATACATACATACATAACATATGCATATATGATAAATATATACAAAACATTTATATACAATATATATGCAATATATAATATATATAATATATATACATATTATATATAATATACATATTATATAACACACACACACACACACACGCACGCACACACACACACACACACACACACACACACACATACACACACACACACACACACACACACACACACACATACACGCACACACACACACACACGCACACACATACACACACGCACACACACACACACACGCACACACACACATATATATATGT